ATGCATTGTAATGGACTGACGTCACGACACGCATTGTAATGGACTGACATTGTCACAACTCGCATTGTAATGGACTGACGTTGTCACGACATGCATTGTAATGGACTGACGTCACGACACGCATTGTAATGGACTGACATTGTCACGACTCGCATTGTAATGGACTGACGTTGTCACGACACGCATTGTAATGGACTGACGTCACGACACGCATTGTAATGGACTGACATTGTCACGACACGCATTGTAATGGACTGACGTCACTACTCGCATTGTAATGGACTGACATTGTCACAACTCGCATTGTAATGGACTGACGTTGTCACTACTCGCATTGTAATGGACTGACGTCATGACTCGCATTGTAATGGACTGACGTCACGACTCGCATTGTAACGGACTGACGTCACGACTCGCATTGTAATGGACTGACATTGTCACGACACGCATTGTAATGGACTGACGTTGTCACAACTCGCATTGTAATGGACTGACGTCACGACATGCATTGTAATGGACTGACGTTGTCACGACACGCATTGTAATGGACTGACGTTCTCACGACACGCATTGGAATGGACTGACGTCACGACTCGCATTGTAATGGACACAGTGTATTCTTTGGGTCTTTCGGTAAAGCCACGTAGATAGAACAAATAATAAAACAATAACAATATAACGTTTCGATCGCAACAAAAGCAATCATCAGGTGAAAAATATAGCGGGATAGCTTGTGTTGCGATCGAAACGTCGTGATATTATTATTTTTATTATTTGTTCTATCTTCGTGGCTTTACCGAAAGACCCAAAGAATATGAATTCCTGCAGTCACGAAAGCTTTTAAGTCAACACAGTGCACGTTGAAGCAAATGAAAGGACTCTGGGATCTTTGACATTAAAATGCCAAACAAAAGATACAATGCATACAATTATGTTAAACTTATTTATAAAATGATCAAATAAATAGCAGAACAGCACGGAAGTGTCTTCAGCACAGAAGCAGTTGATGATTTGTAAATCACACACTTTATCACTTTGAGAATGAGATGTCATAGTGTGATTGTTGGCTGGAGAGATGCACCATCTGCAGCCACTCCCATCGTGTGTGATTGCCATTGGTCTGCTTGAGGTAGCAGGAGTGCTGTCCATATTATCGCATGGATCAGAGAGCTCAATAAGCAGCTCGAAAAAATATTTCTGGAATTTCAGCACAGGTGTGTGAGACGGAGTGCGGGGAATTTCGTGACAAGACTGAAGCAATGCAGATGCTCAGAAGAGAACTTGACCGGTGAGTGGGACGTGCGTCCAGGATGGGGGAGGACCGATTGCCGAGACATATTGGAGTGGTCTCCATTAATTCGGCGACCAAGGGGAAGAAACCATCTGAGGCCAGATGGGTAGGGTACTGTCATGGCATATCTTGGACATTGTCTACTGTGGAGCATCTGCTGCGATCATGCGCAAATCAACGGTTTTGGGCATGATGGCATCCTGATCTTGAGAGAAAGATAGAACCAAACGTGTGAAAGAAACAATCATACATCTGGGGGAATTCTGTGCAGATATCTGCAAAAAAATAATGAACTTCAGTAAACATTTGTTTTTTTAAGATGATGGGGGTCGTCCAGGTGTCACACTTAGGAGTTGACCACTGACCTTCACTATGACAATCAATACAGTAGGACCAGCTGTTCCAACATAATTACTTGACTGTAGTTAGCCTTCGATTTAAAGCTTTCGTGACTGCAAGGATTCATCTTCTTTGGTTCTTTCGGTAAAGTCACGTAGAAAGAGAATAAAATAATACATTGATAAAATAAAATAACACAATAATATTATCACGACGTTTCGGCCAGAACACAAGCGGCCTTCATCAGGTGAAGGGGACGAGACTGTCTGGAGGACAGCGTGACTTTACCGAAAAAACCAAAGAAGATGTAGTTAGCCTATTCCCTGTGCTACATTATGGACGATTTCATCAATCATTCTGCTCAGTAAAAAGACAGAGAAAACTGATTTAATTGTTTTTATTACAGACTTTTCTCACAAATATAATTTGTTCACAAAGACTGCAGAGAACCCATGGACAATTTGTTGGCCCACCGACTTTATACAATTGCCAATATAAATACTTCCAATCAGATTCTAGAAAAGACAAACATCAAACACAATCAAATTGGTTTTGTAAAAGTGTTGTGGAGACTTATGCTGTAATCTAGGCTCTAACAATGCCAGGACTTGCATGATATTCATGCTCGTCTTTTTTACAGGGGCAGAAATTCCCCATTCTATTGGTAGAGCAAGTCTAAAGGGCGTCAGACATTTGTGACGATGTGTGACGAGGAGGAGGGGGGGGTGGTGAGAAATGTGACGTCACGTCAAAATATACAACTTTAAATAAATATAGACAACACGTTCTACTTAATTAAATAGACTTTTTAATAAATGTTTTCTCCTATAACATCAGAGTGCAGCGCCACATTAAATACGCAATACAATGACAATAGTTTAAAGCGATTTGAAGCATTTTTATTTTCAAAATGGAAATATGGTTTTGGGGGGGGGCAGAGCTTTGTGACGTCATATTTGAGGGGGGGTCTGACTTTTTGTGACGCCGTGTGACGAGGGGGGGGGGGGGTCAAAAATCGTCCAAAATCGCGTGACGTCATTTATGGACGGCCCCAAACCCATTTTTTAAAGATGGGACAGCTACACTGAGATTGGATGTAGAACATAGCACGATACAATCAGCAGAGGGTGACCAAGGCAATTCGCAGCGACATTGCATGCTACAATCCATAAATTGTCATGGCGAAATACAGGCATCAAGATAAAGTGATCAAATATCTACCGTCTCACGCGAGTTGCAGATGCCACGGTGATAACGGGCAAATGGCAATGAAGCGTGGGAAACGATTGAAGAGAAGGCACCGGGGTGGGCCTCAAGTTCAATGCAAGCCAAGCACGAGAGTGGTGCGGCATCGACATCGCCGAAGGACGATAGTGTGGTTGGGGCAGCGCAGGTCAAACACAACAGGCGTGCTGTTGCATGCACGGTGATTGATGGTGGAGTGGAGTTATCAGCGGGTTTGGAAAAACGATTCTTTCCCAATGGCGGAGCCAGGATTTTTTAGGTAAGGGGGGGAGGGGGAGCAACCCCTCCAGCAGTGAAAAATGATGGAGGAGTTGTTAGTAAGTAAGGAGTTGTTAGTAAGTAAGGAATTGTCCCTTCATTTTTATTCAACGCGTGTGGGGCGATGGAGCAGCCATCGATCGAGGGTCGAATTCGAACCGCGTTGTGATCGGCATCGCGCTCGCTGAAGGTGTTGATGCCTTCAGGGAAGTCGTGGACTCTGTATACGCAACTGCGCACAATTCTGTGAGTCGCTTATAACCGCTTTGCCGTTACTCATCATCTCATAGAGTCCCTGGCACGTAATAACATGCTACACAGTGGCAGTAGGGGTCGCAAAATGCCGATTTATTACCAATAAACCCCAATGATCCGATCGAAATTAGGAATTTCGATCGGATCATTGGGGGGGGGGGGGGCACGTGCTACCCCACCCACTGGCTCCGCCAGTGCTCTTTCCCCCTCGTTGTGTCTGAGGTTTTCTCCAGGCACTCGGGTTTCCTCGCAAAATACGCGACAAAGTAACTGGGCAGGAATCTCAAGCGGACCTCTTCGTCAAAAGAAATTAAAAACACACACATGGCTCACGACTCGGCGAGGTGGATTCCAGAGAAGACAATCATTCCTGGACAGATGGTGATCGCTTGACCATACTTCACCACTCTGGCCAACGCGGGTTGTTGGACGCCTTTTGATTTCATTTCCTCGACCACGGACACACATGTTAACCCATTCGGTTTACCCCGTATTCTTGTACAGGGAAATTGAGTTTTCAGGTCCATACGGCGTACAGTCGTTTCAGTACGGGCAAATAAATATTGTGTCTATTTGTTTGTGTTTCTCCCTTGTGATGGGACTTTGTAGGATGAACGTTGAGATTTATAAGGGGCACGGGGTGACCAATAAGGTCAAGAACTGGCCTGTAATAAGTGTAAGGCACTGATAATGGGTTGTAAAAATAATAGATCACGACGTTTCGATGGCAACACAAGCGACCGTCTTCAGGTGAGAGAGAGAGAGAAAGGAGAGAGCCAAATGGAGTAGGAAGAGAGGGGGCGGAGAGGGGGGTAGAGAGAGAGGAGAGGCAGAGAGGGGGGCAGAGAGAGAGGGAAGGGGTAAGGAGAGAAGAAAAAAAATGTGTTGGGTCTTTCATTTAAAAGGGAAGGGGGGGCGGGGTTACATAAAGCAAAGCATAAAAAAACTAAAAAACGAAATGATGAACGGAGCAAAGTGCCGACTACACCGAGCATCTTCTTGTTTCCTCTGATCGTAAAAAAAGACAGAAAGCTACTGAAAAAAGGTCTTATGTAGGTCTGAGATGGATGCAGCCTCAGGGTAAGAGGTCGGGGCTAGAGACGGTCTCCCTGAGGCTGTGGAAGTGGCTATTGTATTGTGAGAGATTAGCGTGTCAATGCACGAGCTTAGTATGTCGCAGCATCGGTGACTTGCCTAGTATGAGAGTGAAATCCAAAGGACTAATCTCTCACAATACAATAGCCACTTGCACAGCCTCAGGGAGCCCATCTCTAGCCCCGACGTCTTACCCTGAGGCTGCACACATCTCAGACCTACATAAGACCTTGTTTTCAGTAGATTTCTCTCTCTCTTACCTGAAGACGGTCGCATGCGACGCGATCGAAACGTCGTGATCTATTTTTTTTTTACTACCCACGTGACTTTACCGAAAGAACCAAAGCCTATGGATTCCTGCAGTCACGAAAGCTTCAAATCAACATTCATAATGGGTTGGCCAAGGAAGCGTACATTTGACGAATCTCACGGTCAAGACCGTGAGAGGGCCCAGATGGGGGAGGTCCCTCGCCTCCTCTCTGCGGACCGCGCTCCCTGCCGCCCTCTGCTGGACGCGACGGGCAGAGGAGGAGACGGTGGGGGTGGTGGTGAGGACGAGGCCTGAGAGAGAGAGGGGACCCAGGGTTCGGGAGAGAGGCAACGGCAGGGGGGGGGAGAGGCCGCGTCGAATACGCGCTGAGCGGCGAGACAGAGAGAGAGAGGGAGGGGACGGACGAGGCCGACGAGGAGCAGGAGACGAGGAGCAGGAGACGAGGAGCGAGGCCGTGAGTGCCGCTGATGCCGCCGCTGCGTCTGCCCGTGAGGTCGTTGCTGTTTGCCGTCGTCATCAGCGGTGACCGCCAGGGCGGGGGTGGGGCACACGGAGCGAGGAGGCATTCATCACGAGCCGAGATGCCGACTTGGCGATGTCACCCTCGGCCTGCGCGCCATCTACCTGGCTCCTGTAACCCGCCCCCGATAACCTGTGGCCAGAGCCACGCCACCCCTACCCGTGTCTCTACATCTGCCCTTGCTTGTCTCCCTGCCTCCCCCTCACTGCCTCTCCCTCCCCCTGCCTCTCCCTGCCTCCCCCCTCTCCCTCCCCCTGCCTCTCTCCCTGCCTCCCCCTCCCCCTGCCTCTCTCCCTCTGCCTCCCCCTCCCTGCCTCCCCCCCTGCCTCCCCCTCTCCCTCCCCCCCCTGCCTCCCCCTCTCCCTGCCTCTCTCCCCGTGCGTCCTCCGCCACTCACCTAACCCGTGTCAGTCACCGTTGTCGCCTCTCCCCGCGTCCCATCTCCTCGTAGCCGTACCCCACTCCCTCCCCCACCTGCCTCTCTCAATGTCCGCTCACAGCGTCTCTCCTCCCTCTGTGCTCTCGCTCTCTCCCTGCAGGAGTTGCCAGGGAATCGAGTGGTGAAGGGGAGAGGGTCGGTGGGTGGGTGACCGATAGCGCAATGGCGCAGGCGACTCCGGCGGGCGGATTCTCAGACGGTGGGACGGGAGCGCATTGCGGCCAGGTGAGACGCGTCTTGTCTGACGGATGTGGAGAGGTCGAAGGGCCCAAGATGATTTGGTTTATCCAGGTGACACCTCGGGGTGGAGGGTGGGGGACCGTGGATAGCGCGAGCGTCTTTTGCAGGTGTGACCTGGGGCATTGGTCTGATAGTTTGGTGGTCGACGATTTGCTGCTGTAATTTGGACTCTGACGGCCGGCACACAGTGGCCTAACTCTTGCGTATGATGCCAGGGGGATCTTTTAACGTCCGCTGTTAAAGCAGGCGCCGCGTATTGTCATTACGGTTAATACACCAGGAGGATTAACCAGGGCGGCCGCCGCATTCGAACTGTGAATCTCGTTCAAAAAGCGGCGAAAGCGCCCAATAATGTCTGGTACAGGTGAGGGTGTAGGGTCGTGTGCTCCACCTGGGCTGGTGAAGGTGATATTATAACACGTTGGGCCCTATTCGGGCCTCCTGTGTAATGTTTTCGCAAAAGACAAACGTTTGTGGGTGGTACGGTCCTGTGGGTAAAGTAATGTGTATCAGACAACGGGGTTTTTGTGTACGGCAGTGCAGAATGTATTTGCAGTGCTTGAGCAAGCACTTCACTTGCACTCAAACGGAGTGCGTGCCTTTATCTTGAGTTAGATAAACGTGTGTTGAAATGTGTGTCCTGTTCGTGTAAGCCGTGCATAGTAAGTCCTGGGTCCGTGTGGGTGCTTGTGTTTACCGAGAAACGGTTTGCACAGTGAGGTGTGGTTTAGCCCCGCCTTCCTTGACGATTTGCGAAGACATTTTGTTCAGCAAGGTGCTTTTTGTTGGCATATGCGAATATGTGAATATGGGACGCATCGTGCACGGTTTACGTGGCATCAAATCCTGAGGAGCAGCGGGCAAGGCCCCCAGACACGGGCCCACCGTTAGCGCGCTCACCACTTATTGCAGAGGTTCGAGGTTCGGAGTCCGGCAGACCGCCCTGGTTAATACTGCGGGTGTACTAACCATAAAATATCATTGTTGTCTGCATCACATTGGACGCGAAAGCTCTTGCGATATTCAAAAACAGAAGGCCATTGCGTGCTGGTGTAATTGTCAACATTTTCCATATACTCCACATTGGGATTATTAAAGACAGCATTGCCCCCCGTCCGTGGAACTGCTGCAAACTGTGTCTATGAAAAACAGCCCTGCGCTTTAAGAATGGCGCGAATACCACCCATGCGCCGTGCGTATACACTCACAGGATTTCGAGGATGTGATGACATCAAATGCAGAGCTGGGACCCCACGGGTTGCCTGCTGCCGAGTACCATGGGATGGAGCCACCTGCTCCCTCGATACGCACGGGGAACATGCAAGGTGCGTACACCACACATTTCATGGCATGCCTGTGCACCACGACATATCGCCAGCGCTGGCAGCATGATTGCAGGTTCAAGGCTCTTGCTTCGTCACATTTGAGGACACAATCGATTGCAGGAGAAGGAACCTATTATCAAATGCGAAAAAATGTTTACGACCCATATGTAACAGGGTGACACCTGGCAATTTTTCCAGAATTGGTTTAAGCATGCCTGCCTGCTGTTGAGACACTCAGTGTCAACACCGGTCCTGTGTTTGCTTCCAGTGAACCTGTTGATGCTGAAATAATGTACTCACAGAAGGCTGTGTGGTCAGTGAGATGTGCAAAAAAAATGTTTTACTCTGAGAGACACGGGGAGGCATGTTGTTTGCTCATTTTTTTGTTATAAAATATCCTTACAGTACCAGTGTGGTGCACGCATGCTGTTGATGTCACACAAACTCATTATACAATCACAGCTATCCTCCCATCGCGTACTCCCCAGGCAATCACTCAGTTCGAGTTAATTATTTTTCCTTTTGTTTGCGCATGTGGGTGGTGTACACAGGACCTTCGGCCAAATACAACCCTTACTTTGTGGGAGGCGGGCGAGGAACGAGTAGGATTCTGGGCCAGGGTTTGCCCTCCTATGCTTACTTCTAGTTTACTCACTGGTGGTGGGACTTGTGTAGTGAGGGCCTCTACCGCTTCCCAGCCTCTCGCTGGCAACCACACCTGCTTGTGACATTTAGTCCTCAGAACAACGGGAAGCACAATTCCTGCCAACTGTGATGACTTGCATCCAAAGCTTAAATAGCAAACGTCTTTCAAGGGCCCTCATGCCTTCTAGGCAACAGAGGCGGCAACGCATGTGCCTCGTGTTGAGAGCCTACGCTATTGGCGTCCAGCGTGAGGTAGGGTCGCCACATTTTCCACAGACCAAACCCCCAAAGTATTTCTCGGCTCAGGTCCATATAAACTGTGCATTTTACTGTAATAAAAGTTCAACGCAAGACTGGTGGCGACCCTCCTATGTGGGGCGATGTGGCCCATGCCAGGCAACACGGAATCGCCGTCAGGCCTTCGGCAGGCTGCTCGGCTTGTCCCCTGCATCAATGCAGAAGCTTCCTTGCTGCCCTGTCGTAGACCAGTTCTGTGCATGTGCAACCCTTTGTTGTGAGGCTCTTTTTTTTATTAAGAAAGTGCTGATGTGCCTCGGCGCGTTTCAAACATTCGCTATTTGGATCAAATTGTTTTCCTCCTGATTTTCCTGTTCATTCATGCTGTAAAATGTTTCTGAGACAGGCACGGTGGCCTGTCGATGCTTGGGGGTGTCTTCTTGCTTGTGAGGCACACGGCGGAGTATGCTTCGTTAATAGCCTTTATTTCTTTAGGCATTGCAGGTCTATTTCAGTATCCACAATGCAGCATTGGCTCGAGTGTAGTGCTTTCCATACTGCACTCACACCTCACAGCAAGAAGCTCCTGGGTTCGATTCCAGACTCGGGCACCTTTCTGTGTGGAGTTAGTATGGTCTCCCCTTGTTCTGCATGGATTTTCTCTGCATTTTTCGGTTTCTAACACAGATTGAAAAAAAATTACATACATTGTGACTGGTATTGGCCAAGCATTCCAATGCGGAAACACGCCATTCATATTACTCAATTGGGATTAGACGCAGCGAGGATTGCCCCCGACTGCAAAACCTTGACCGGAACTTCTCAGAAAATGATTTTTGACAGTCAGTGGGGCTTTCCTGGGAAACCAAGCGGAATAATAATAATAATTAATACATTCATGCTGTGCAGAGCATAACATACATTGGGCATCATTATTCAGATGGTGGTGGCACACGCCTGTAATCCAGTACTGTGGAGGCAGGGGTTGGTGGATCACACAAATGGTGTGAAACTCCCTTCCCGTGGGCGTCGAGGTACCAGTACCATGGCTCGGCCGAAGAAGACAGTCTAGCAAGTGGACTAATCGACACCTGTACAGGGATAGTTTTTCCCCCTCGAGTGAATGGGTTTCCTCCCACATGTTTACACACTCAATAATTTGCTGTAAATATCTTAAAATTCAAACCAAATGTAGGTACCCTCTTTAAAAAGATTTATTGGAATCAGTGTTGCTGGATAAATAATATGGACCAATGCAATCCCATTTCGTAAGCAAATTTCCTAAGACCGCAGTTGAGGTGTAGGTATTCATCTTTGCGATAAGTGGGTTGTGTTCATGTGTTCTGTACATTTTCACGAGTGTTGCGTTCATGTGTGCAGTAGCACTATGCCGCCCCATGCTTGTATGCATTCATTGTTCGTGAACAATGAGTGTATGCATGTACTCTATGTAAACCGCTATGAACCAACGTCTCAATTATTGCTGCCTCAGCAGTTGGTGCTGCATCAAAGTGGAGCATGCCATTGTCTGCCAGCGTCAGCTATAAACCCACTTTTGTAAGATTGCCTCAACTTCAGCGAGTACAAGCGGCAGAGGCCAACACTGGCGCTAAATGCCACCGGAGTTGACACAGCGGGGCCCATGTTGCTCTACCCAGTCAGCCCCAGCTCACATTCCTACCTGGTGGTGCAATGGCCATATCTGGGTGATGGGAGACTTCACCCGTGCGCACGGCAGCAGCTCGAGAGAGCAAGACGCACGAGCACCTGACCTGGTTTGTGGTATTTGCTAGTGCAGATGCTGTGTCGTTTGTGCTGTCAGTCCCAAGTCGGCTTGGTGTAGGCGTTTGCTCAGTCACAAGGCCGTGAAGCCCTGTCATTGTTGTAGCTGCGCGATGCCTGGCTGCGTTCTCTGTGGCCACACGTGGCGTGTGTGCGTCAGGAACGCAAGGAGAGGAGACGCAAGCGTCTTTAAACAGCCCGGCTGTTGCTGGAGATGCAGGCTTCATGGGCCTCGCTTTTAGCACCCTGGAGATGGTACGCAACTGGAGCCTTAACACCTACAAGGTAAGGGTGGCATGCGTGAATCGTGTGTTTTACGATAGTCCGTGCCGTTATTCTGCACTGTATTTCAAGTTCCAAGGATATTTTATTGAACCAGGTGGGAACTGAAGAGACCAGGATGAGTCTCAGTTGCAAGAGTGACCAAGGTCAAAACAATGACAGACGCCAAAAAAATACTTGAATGAAGCAAATGGAAAATGAGACCAAAAATAACGGTTACAAAACAAATTAAAAAAGCGTTAAATGCATCCTCCGTGACGGCCCGTTGTACAGCCACACTGCGTGTGCGTGCAGTAGAGCAACAGTTAGGGCACGGTACGGCACGAAGAACCTGGCGACCCAAGTTCGATTCCCACTCACGGCCAACGGTGATGAATATTTTAACTGGTCCTGGGCCTCCCCTAGGTCGACTCAGTCTCAAATGAATACCTGGTGTGGCGTGTAAATATCAGGCACTGGGAGAGAAAGGCGGCTGGGCACGGTGCCGACTTCAACCCCTTTTGCACCATAGCGGCCTTCATAGGTTCTCACAAGCAGCACTCGCCCCAAGAGCCTGCTAGGCCTGCCTATATGTGGGATCGTTGTATTTGTGTTTAGTGCACACGACAGATGGTGACGGAGCAGCTGGGCCGAGGCTCCCGCACCTTGGACCCAGAGCTGTCTGCCCGCGTGGTGGCGCTCACAGAGACGAGGCGGCGCTACCGTGCGCTGCTGCGGGTGGCGCGCTCTATGCTGGCGCACTTCCAGTTGGTCGTCACGGCACAGCGAAATCTGGCCGACTGCTTCTCTGAGCTCGGCCACAAGTCTCCTGATCTGCAGGTCCCTCCCTGGCTCCTTACGAGTGGTCCAGCCATGCTGGCTCACATGGCGCCCCCCCCCCCCACCAGCACGTGCCAAACAATCCTCCCCAATCACTCACACACTCACATACCACCCACACAGGCGTGCACGTATTCATCTGTACACTCATACAATCACTCATCCACCCACTCGCACTCACTCACTCATCCAATCACGCATCCATCACCTCACACACTCCAAACCCACCCACTGGCACATCCATCCGCTCACCTGCCCAGTGACACGTTCACCCACTCACACACACATTTACTCACTTACTGGCACGTAACTCGATCGCTCATCCCCGGGCTCCCAACTTATTGTCCCACCTCCCCCACCCACTCGCCCATCTTCCTCTTGTCCATGCAAGCGAAACTCACACTTCCTCTGTGTATCGGCATGGGTGCTCGTGAGGGAGGGGGGGGGGATGGAGGGTGTGAAGTGCGAGGATCTGGCTGTGAGCGACACAGCATGGGGGGGGGGGGGGAGCACTCGCTGTCAAGGCCACAGCCTGCTGTTGTAAATCAGTGTTCGTAACCGTGCACCAACCTGTTGCACTAATTTTGAATAAGCCCTGAACTTAAAACCTAAAATGCTGGCGAGTTTGTTTCTCTTTGACTACGTGGAAAAATACTGGTGGCCATGTAATCGCCGCTTTTGCCACAGTAAATAGGTGTACGGCCAACTTGAGGTGCTTTGAGGTTGTCATTGTGGCGAGGCGAGGGGCTCGGTGTGAGGTGACGGGATCATTGTGACGAGGTTAGCGTGGTCCCGCAACAGGAGGAGTTCAGCTACAACGCAGAGACGCAGCGGCTGCTGTGCAAGAACGGGGAGACGCTGCTACGGGCCCTCACCTTCTTCGTCAACAGCATCAACACGCTCACCAACAAGACCATGGCCGACACCCTGATGACTGTGCGCCACTATGAGGCTGCCAGGTGATAACCACAAGTGGCAGCGCAGACACAGCAGCAGCGACGCCACAGAGACAGTATTGTCACACAGATAGCAGAACAGCGGGGCGACATAGAGCAGCACACGACAAGAGAGCAGCACCTGATAGACAACACAGGCGCGCGCAATGGGACAGCAAGACACCAGGAATCCATACAGAAACAATGGCACCACTGGTCTGCATCTTCCGGCTAAACTCACTTTGTACCGGCCTGTGCTGATGAGGTGGTTGTCAGTGCGGCGTTGGTGGTCGTAATGTTGATTTGTGGTTGCGATTGTGGCCGTCCGATGGCGATAGTCGCGATTGTGCCGATTGGCAGTCGTGTATGGTGTTGCTGATGCTGCGTCTCCTGTGGAATTAGTGTCCCATGTGTTCAATGATTGTCTCCTGTGATGTTTGCGATGTTGCCGTGTAATGTTGATAGTGATGTTGCTGCTGCGTCCCGCCTGGCACTGGCCGCAGGCTGCAGTTTGACGCTTACCGGGCAGACGTGGAGCTTCTGAGGAACTCGGCCACAGACCCGGCCTCTGCCCAACGCCTCGACGTCGCCCAGAAACACTTCCTCTCGCACAAGGACAAATTCGAACGTCTCCGCGAAGACGTTGCCATCAAACTCAAATTTCTGGATGAAAATAAGGTGAAGTAATTTTTTTATCATTCTGCTTATATAGCCGGGAAAGCCTCACCGAGTGTCAGGGCTTTTTCAGGAGGGTCCTGCAAAGTTTTTTCAGCGGTATCAATGTGGTTCACCAGTCGATTGGCGGGTTGCACGTGGTGGGGTCAATTGTGGTCGCACCAACCTCTTACAAAGGTATCTGCTCAGCATGGATAAATACACCAAATACCCTTTAGAGCCCACCCCCCCCGCCCCCCAGTGGAGGTCCTTCCTCCAGCAGCACTGAGCAACTTTCAACTGAGAAATGAGGGCAAATGAATCATGCTGTGATTTAGGCCGCCGAGCCGTTTGTATGTTCGTGCGTGCCAATTGGTCGATTCGTAAAATTTCACTGGAATGGGTTACCAGTCCCCGACTTTTGGACCCGGTAACCGATTCGGCTGTTTAACAACCCTGTCGCATACTAACCATTGAAGTGCGGTCTTCCCTGCCGTCAGGTGAAGGTGATGCAGAAGCAGCTTCTTCTGTTCCACAATGCCACCTCTGCCTACTTCGCTGGAAACCAGCAGCAGCTGGAGCTCACCCTGAAGCAATTCAATGTGAACAGCAGCATTGCCGCCCCAACAGCCGGCATTGCCACGTGGGTCGAGGGGCAGTGATCCAACTCGCACGTAACCTTACACACGTAAACACCACTACTCTCATACAAAGATCCTATGAAGCCTACACAGGCTGTTGGGGCAGATGGTGAGCAGATATGAAAGTTGGCATTGCTTACGAGAGGGGGATATGGCCAGAAACACACCCAACCACCTTTGCCTCCCCATTGGTGATGTTTACACGGTCTAGGGAAGGACTGGGACCGGTTCAGATATTTGCCAATGTTAGGTGTGAACATGAACTGAATTCTGCCCACTGGATTCGTAGTGCAATGCGCTAACCTCTGCACTGTCACACAACCCACCACACATATACCCCGACTTGCATGTCCACTTACACTTCCAAACTGCCTTTCACCACCAAGCGACATTACTACAGCCCTTGTGCCAGGCTAGCGCTAGTATGTATGTTGTTGAACTTCTTTCGCACCATACGTAGCCATCTGCTCATCGGAGGAGCGGGGGACTCGCTGGCAGAAGGTTACGAGACAAGACAAGGGTGTCCTGGCACCACCTTTGCCAACTTCCCTACACTCACCGCACACCCCACTCATAAACACTCGTTTTCAACCCCAAAGACATGTTCACACACAACACCCCAATCTCCCATGTTCCAAAGCTTCTGACCGTGAGCTCGTGCATATGTAGATACATTAACAAAACGCACCTCGACCTGGATCACACACGGTGCCCACTGTGCAGGCGGTGACGCGCAAACTTCTTTCTGGGATAGTCAGCAGGTCGTGTATTCCACCACCCAATCATGGGCTGGGTGAACAACCGAGTTGTGTTTGTCAATGCCTTGTTTAGAATTACAATTTTATTCCACACATTGGTGTGAAAAGGGTTGGTGTGGGTAGTGTACATCACATGTAGCCATCACTTAGTCTTTTTGGGGGGAGCCTTTGCCCAGATATTGCAACGGTTTTTTTTAGACAAAACCACTGCAGAAAGACATTTTTGTAAGCGAACGTAGAATAACGGCTAAAAGGAGTAACCATCGATTGCAATTGAGAACATTGCTATGCTTCAGTGTATTTAATAAAGTACATTCCTCTCAAGTGATGAGTTATCTTTATTTGTATTTTAAACGTAAAAAAAACACAATCACGAACACACGTTTGCTACCAGCATAATTCAAACATGGTAGTCACGTACACATAGCTGCTCATTTGCTGTAGAACATTCCTCATCCGGCCAGGTGGCTCATCAGTGGTAAATCAAGGAGCCCACAATCGGAAGGCCGCGAGTTAAAATCATGGTGGGGGGGGGGTTGACTCTGTCTATCATCCCTTTGGCATCTATTAAATAAGTGCCACTTGTGGATAAGTCAAGTGGTTGTCTTGTAATCTCACCCCACACTAGAAATGAAAATTTCCACCAATGGCTCAGGGCTGTAAACGGGAGAAGAGCACCAATGCCACAAATTTAATTTGAATCGCTAATCACTGGTTACCCATACGTAGCTGGTCATTGTAGGAAACATTCCTCACCCACATAGGAAGGACCCGTATGCTCCCTTCAGTTTGCCAAGTCCCTTGTAGCCCCAACCAAGAGTCTCCTATTTGCCAAATACCCTGCCCTCACTTGACGACTCATTGCAGCCTGGTCTTAGAGAACTGCTCGCCTAAAATGCGCATGATGTCTGCGTGGCTGCTGTCCGGCCGGGCCGAGCGCGTGGTCCCATACTGTTCCTTCACAAAGCGCGTGAACGGAGTGAGGGCCCTGCTGGTGACGGGTGTGCCGTCCCGGCCCTCGGGAGGCAGCAGCACAAAGCGGCCCTGACACAGCGCGCACACGAACCGCTCCGTGTCCAGCGACTTGCTGTGCCGGCCGATGCTGGGAAGGGGACGAGGAACGACAGTTAAACGGTGCAGCTTGTACAATAAGTGCACAAGCAGCATCTACTATTGTTGCGCAATCAAATCAATGATAAAAAAAAACCTAAACATTTATTCCAAAGTGGTTCTCAACCTCTTTCGTATGGTGCCCCCTCCAGTGAAGACCACCGATCGCCGCCGCCGCCGCCCCCCACCACCCAAAGAGATCACATCTCCATGTCTTTAGTCAACACATCATTCATGAAACACTCGTTTCATGTTGCATATTAGTGTTTCGTTCCTGCAACCTGGCACCAAAATTCCCCATTCACATTTAAACTTACGTCTCTTGAACATCCAACTATCAGGGGCGGAGCCACAGGGGGGGATGGGGGGGCTCAGCCCACCCAGAAATTTTTGGAAAGTCGGTAATCGGGATAACTGGATATCCGGCTGCTGCAAAATGCTGCAGGCTGCCACCTTGTGCTGCCCTGCAGGCTGCTTGAGCGGCAGCCTTTCGAACTTATTAGCCACATCAGCGACTCCGACCTATTAATAAACTCCGCGTTCAAATCCAATAAAAATTGTTTTATACATATGTGGCGCCCGTTGGAAAACATACACTGGATATCTCAGAATATTGAAGTCAGCCCCCAAAAGTCAAAATTCTGGCTCTGATCCTGTCCACTATGAACCATATAATGGTTGGCAAAACGTCAGTGATGTCCTGCTAAAATGAGCAGTGAGGCACTGGTGCTCATCTGGTATTAAAGTCCTGATCCAGTTGTGGAAATTCCACATTCGTATGGCAAGGAGTGAGTATATCCATAGGAAAACAAATGTTGACATCCCAGAAGCCGAGTCAATCCTTCACGAGAACTTGAACTCGCAATCTTCCAATTGCGAGGTGCTCGCACTCCTGCTGAACCACCCGTTTAATACACCCGGTATTAACCGAGGCGGCCTGCCAAATTCAAAGCACAAACCTCTACAACAAACTTTGAACACGCTACCACAAAAAAAAACCTGTGACATTGTTTAGGAGCCGTGTGCAATGACGCAGTGGCACCTGTTCTTGCAGCGCGTGCACTCGTAGCGGTACTTGAAGGTGATGTTGTAGGTGTGGCAGCGCGACACAGTCGGTAGTTCGGGGTGTACCAGCGTGGCGGTGCGCGCGTACAGCTGCCACAGCCGCCCGTGCCCATCGCGTTGCCCATTGATGAGCCACGTGGCGGCGTGGCACATCTCGTGCACCAGCGTGTCGCGAAGCCGCTCTGTGCCGTGCATCAAACACACATCGACGCTATTGTAACAATTCGTTCTTTTCTCGTCTTTAGTTTTCGAAGTACAGGCACATCCATATCTGTTGCATGTAGCCAATTGGCTTGTGTGTGGGTGCCATCGCTGTGAGCAATGCACAACATGTTGCTCACAAATGAGATGCAATATTTTCAAGCCATCTGCTCAGTAATTTGTACCGACCTTTTCACCACATGCACATTTGTGATCGGATCGGTTGTTACCTGGGTGTAGGGTGGAGCTAACCAGAATAGTGGCAGAGCTATTCTGTGAAGAGCATGGCCAGACAATTTAGCGACACCAGACACATCCTGGTTCTGCAACTACAGGCTCGGATGTGGACCAAGCAGTTACACAGGAGATTATACCACAAGAATTCGGGCATGATTTGGCTGCACAACATACAACTCAGGTGTGCGACACTGCTTTTCATTTATAAAACAGACACGTTAATGAATAGGGCTTTGATCAATGTGGCGTGCTCTCTCTACAATAAATCACTAATAACACAAACGTATACCTCGCATGAATTTACATTGGATCATTATCTTTACGAGAGTTAACGTGACCCTCCGCTACAGACAGAGCTAATGCATTACCGTGCTCAAACCCTGTCGGAAAGCATGTGTTGCCTCCGAAACGTCGTGATTTAATTTAGTTTTCATTTTTTTTAACTACTTCACTTTACCGAAAAAACCAAAGAGTACGAATCCTTGCAGTCACGAAAGCTTCAAATCTAGAACAAATCTAGAATCATTAAGAAAAATTCTGTAGGTCGCATCTCACAAGCTTGCAGTACCGGGATTGTCGCACACTTTGACGGAAAGCTCTATGCGTGCGTAGGGTTGGCAAGCTGGTCCAGGCCCCTTTCCCATCACACAGTAGCCAGCTGTCTTGCGCATCTTGTTATTCCACAGCAGCTCCATGTTGTTTGGCAGCTGTTATTTTGCACAAACAATTGGCCAGAAGGCATGGTCACAGCCAGGATTAAGCACTGATACTGGATACAGGTGTTTTTAACTTAAAATGTCAGTAACTGCCAGTTGTTCATACAGTAGAGAAAACTGTCATTTAAATTTGAACGTCTTAGTTTCCAACAGCATGCTCCACCAGACCTTATTTTTAAAGATGGTTTCATTGTAGAATTTGTAGAGCGACGCCGTAAGCTGGGCCTTGCATTTCTTGAAGTTGCGAGCGTAGTGACACGAAGGACTCGACAGCTCTGCCAAGAAGCAGCCGGGCACTGCACACCTGGGCAGCCATACACACGCACATTCACCACGGGAGGTTCTCTGCCATCGCAGTGATCACACCTCCCCGTACCAACATGGCAGCGTGATGCAGAGGCGGAGTCACAGAGGGGGCTGGGGGGGGCTTAGCCCCCCCTGAAATTTTGGGAAAGTCGGTAATCGGGATATCCGGCTGCTGCAAAATGCTGGCTGCCACCTTGTGCTGCCCTGCAGGCTGCTCGAACTTATTAGCCACATCAGCGGCTCCGACCTATTAATAAATTATGCGTTCAAATCCAATAAAGTTTGTTTTATACATTTGTGGCGCCCATTGGAAAACATTACACTGGATATCTCAGAATATTGAAGTCAGCCCCCCCAAAGTCAAAATCCTGGCTCCGCCCCTGGCGTGGTGGCACAGTGGTTCCACTTATTCCTCACATCAAGAACCTTTATTTCGACTGGAGGATTCCAATGAGTTGTGAAGCTTTTTCCCTCCGGTGCCTCTTTTGTGTGGAGTTTGTATGTTCTCCCCCTGTTCTGCATGGGTTTCCTCCCGGTACTTTGGTTCTCTCCCATAAGTATTAATAAACAAAATACAATGTAACCGACTAAATATTAACTCTGCTCTCTGAGAGCTCACCACAAAGCTCCAGTCTGGAAGCAGCAATGTGCTGTCCGGGAGCCAGGGGGGCCATAAACAACCAAGTTTATATAAACAAACTGTCGAAGCTAGAAAAGCTGGTAAAAAAACAGGACTCAGACCCAAGGTAATTCACGAGTTGGCAGCGTGACATGTAAGCCTTGCGGCAGAGTGCTCCGCCCAGTGGAGGCAATAGAAAGACAGGAGGTTCTGCCAGGCTGAAGCGGACGTCCACCAACTTGCAAAACACACCCAGGGTAATGCACGCATGTGGTTGTGATGATACCTGGTGCTCCAAACGTCAGACTGGGAGGGAACGCTGGCGAAGGGCTTGCCGAGCTCCAAGTCCGAACTGGACTTGACGCGATTGCTTCGAGGCAATGGTGGAGGCTGCCTTGGGGTAGCTGGAAGCTGCGGAGTGATGAGTTGTGCAGGTGGCTCATGTCCCCACAATGGCACCGAAGGCAGGCCTAGCAACACCACAAACCGCTTATTTTACAGACAGCAGCACACGCACTATTATTACCACGACCGCACACAGACAAATACTGCACTACCTGCCCACCCAGCAAGAGTTGCAGTTGTGGTGATTAAATTAAATCATTAAGGTGCTGTGTATTTCACAGGCACAGTCTGCAGAAGTCCTCAGTAGGGGCCGATGTTGCTGTGTAATACCAATTGAGTATTTTGCAGGTAAATTTAATAATTTGGCAAATTTGGACGGCACCAGTACACAATGGTCAGCTCTTTATCGAATGACACCACGGTACCTTAAATGTCCACTGTGGAGCAGACGGCGCCTACTATTTAATGGTTAATACCCCGCAGTATTAACCAGGGTGGTCACAGCAAGGGGCAAATGCACTGCCGCTGGGCCACGTCACCACCCCACATATGGCGGTCTACACGCATGTAAGCCGTTTATTAAAGGTTCCCTCAGGTCAAGGGACAACAGAAACCTTGTTTTGCCATGGAGGGTGTCGTAGGCTTGTTCTTCGTCCCTGGCTTTTTGGGATTGCTCTTGCGGATTTTGTCCATGAGGCTCTCAAACTCATCATCAAATTCGTCCAAGTCGGCCAGGCTCCTTTTGGAGGCTTGGGCAGTGGTGGGCGGTGGTGTAGGGACAGCGGGAAGGGGCTCCGATTCTCTCTGTGGCCGACTGAGCGTCGTGGAGTTGGTGGTGCCGCTCCCCACCGACAGGGAGACGCTACGAGCCCGCAACGGGGGTACGCAAGGTTCAGGGTTTGGTTCCTTGTTGGCAACTCTGCTGGAGCCCACGACCCCCTGGTGCAAGCCCGCCAGCTGTGAATGGGCCCTCCGCTTTGAGAGCACGGGTCTCGCTCGCGCCGACTTGAAATCCTCTTCATCACTGCCAGAGCTGATCACAACAGCTCTGCAAGCACACAAGCACATTTCCACTTATTACTCGTATATCACGACCATGGTTATACTATTACCATGAACTTCGCTCATGGGTTCCTCCACCCATGTTGAGAACTCGTCCACGAGATTTTTGTCTCTTCCACGCTATGTTCAACCACCACACTGAATGCCACAACACTTATCTTCCTGCTTCTTTCCTTGCCCTGCTGCACATTTGAATTCTCTTTTATTGTCTTTTTCCAAGCACTCATAACCTTTAACTCTTATCTATGGCAAATGTAATAGTGCTGCTTGTTAAAGGCCACTTGGCTTTTTGGGCCTATGCTTAGAAATTGTTTAGAAACAAATTCAACCGTTTCACTTTTAAAAGTGTAAACTAAGGTCTCAATCATAGCATTAACTCTTACCTGGAAATGGACTTCAAAGGAGCTTTGCTTTTCAAAGGAGTTTTCATCTTAAGGAGAACTAAAAGATAAAATCACACAATATAGTCACAACACGCATTAACTTGCTGGGCGCAAATGTTCAATGTGAAATTAAATGTTCTTGCCGCCTTAAATATTCGTGATTGACAAGTTTGGGGTGACGTGGCGACATGTTTCCGCTCAGCCAGAATTGCGAAGTGTGGCATTCTCTCCAGCCTATGAAGCAAAACCTGACCAGATAATCGACTCCATCTCAGATTGACTAAAAACATGGCAAGTACACTCAAGTTCTGTGGCTCATGGAAATGCAGTAAGTGCCTCAACAGCAGGGATTACCATGATACACAACAGGTAGATAATGCAATGTTACAATGTTTGTTACGCTGCTCAGAATGGGTCCCGGTGTTTGTGGATGGCTTGTGCCAATAACATTAGGCATTTGTTCAGCGGGCCACACTTTTCCGATAGACCGGAACATTTGTTTTTACATGGCAAACCCATTTCTGTCTTATCTTCCACAATAGTTCTGCACAAAAACGTGACGCGATGAGTGTTCCACGGAAGTCGACTTACAGGTCTCAAATTCATTATCGTCATCGGAGGAATCAAAGCAGCCACTGGGCTGTGAAGGGTGGGGCCCAGCAAGGCCTGGCTCCTTCCTCCCCATGGCAGCCGGAGATACCTTGCCATTCCCAGCAGCCTGCAACAACGCGCTACATTAGTAACGCTCCCATGGCGTAACAAACGTCTCAAACCACAGGAACACAGAGGAGGAAAAATGGGAGTGACTGAGTAAGGGAGAGAAAATAACCAATTGAAATGAGCATTGAGGTGGTGCTCAGCTTTTTTATAGTTTGCCTGAGCCGGTGGTGGAAATTGCTCATTCCAGTGGCGGGGAAAAGTCTATCTCATAGGAAAACCACCGTTGAATTACAATTTTATTGACGCTGGAGGTATGGATGGGTTGAGTCAAGGGCCCAACCATGATTTGAACCTGGAACCTTGCGATTGCGGGCAGTTCGCTGTACAGCTGAGCCACCTGTATTGTCTTGGCGTGGTCTTGGATTGTTGCTTTGCTACCTTGCCCAAACTTACATTTGGTCTCGACAAAACTGCACGAATTTATGTGCATTTGTACTTAAATGCTATATTAACATATATTTTTTAGTGACTTGCTTACTTTTTCTCTATCCTTGTATTTTTTCTATTGATGTAAAATGCTGACCCACCACTACTTGGATATCTGTTAAAAAGAGCTTCACAGCTCATCCTGACCTCTTTGGCTGTGGTTCCTGCTCCTTGCACGGCTTTATCTGTAATGCTGCTGCTCTCGATGTGGGCTCTCCACACCTGTGCCCCCTGGCTCAGGCCCCCGCAGCCCTGCATGCAGACTGACGAAGCAGCACACACGCCCGCACAAAGTGAAGCCATCGCACCGTGCAGCGAATAGTGCTCATGGCCTCGTGGGCAGCAGCATCACAGTTACTCACATGAAGGCAGCTCATCTTCACTCGAGTCATCAGACGAAATGTACCGTCCTTGCGCTCTGTGGATTAGAATGTGTACCGATGAGTTTTAAGAGGTGTAAAGCTGAATGCTTTGTCAAGATAAGGGTGACCGCTCACAACAGACAATATAAGAATTAAGAAAAAAGAGGAATCCACTGAAGCGATGAAGCTCTTTTTCACTGGGGCAGAAAAAAGAGTTACATCGACAAACAAAACAAAAAACAATAAGAGAAATAAAAAACACACAAAAAATATAAATACATAAAAGTACAAATTACACAAATACATACATTCCTCCTGATCTGTCAACACTAAATTCAAGCTTGGGCAAGGCAGCAAAACAACTATCCAAAACCACACCAAGACAATATAGCCCCTCAATTACATTGCACATAACAATGTTACTATCGCTACATGGGTAAGGTTCATAGATACAAGTCACATTTGCAAACGTTGGTGCTGCATTATACCTGCCGGGCTGTGGGCTCCACCCATTCTCCTTCCCCTCCTTGCGACCCCCATCCACTGGACCCATGCCCTTGGCGCCACCTCCCGATGGGCCCTGCAGCCGTCGATTCCTCCGGTCGCTCAGGGAAATTTTTCTGAGTGCCGGCCTAGGCCAAGGGAGACACGGGGTCCCTGTGCCTCCATCCTGTAGTACAGCATGAAGCGAATTGGATTAATTTGAAGAGTTATGCCAACTATTGTCGATATGTGTATGGAACAAGGGAATGGGTTAACCAATGAATCGCTTCTCATAAAGGACACGGAAATGATACGGCCCATATTAGTGGTCACTGGGAGCGCAAAATTCGAGGAAACTAGAGCAGCCACGTTGAGATGAGATGCGAGATCTTTTATCAAGGATGATTTATCTCGATATTTAGGCAGACCCGCACTGTGTGGAGCGGAGCCCAATGAGAAGCTTAAGAGGTGGATGAGGTGGGGTCATCAGGGGCCGTCAGGCCGTGCGAGAATTCAAGAGGGCCTGCTCGTCTTCTGGACGCCCAAAGACCCATTCCAATCCTGGTAAGAAGGGCTGCCACAGTAGCCAAGTCCTCGTTACGGAGAGAGTGCCCCAAGAATTCAAGCTTTCAAGGAAGTTGTCACTGCCCTTCTGCATGGACTCACAGCAGAGCAGTGGAGTATGCAACATATGAGTGTCGATTTGTTGTCCTGCATAGATATGCTTATTATTAAACGGTTTTATTATCATGTTTATTCCAGTTGTTCAAGGGTTTTTTTTAAAATACATGAGATAAATGGCTATTGTGGCCTTGTCTACATCCTCCTCGTCCATCAGACCCTCACCCACCCCGCGCTGCAAATGAATCCACTCCGTGAGAAAGCACGACCAGAGAAACAGCACTCCGCTACACATGTGAGACAGAGTACAGATTTGGACAATTCCTAAGCTGCTTCGGTGGCCAAGTGCTGCCCTATACCCTTATCGCAGTGCTGTCCTACCCCCCCCCACCACCACTGCTGCCCTCGTAACCTTCTATCCAGTTTAACACGTAGGCTTTCATGACAAATATCCATAAGAGCTTTTTTTGGGTTACATCGTGAAAAATGTAATGTGTCGTTAAACCCACCACCACTCGACACAGCCAATTAGTAAGGTCTGGTCACGTAAACAAAACAGTCCAATTCGTTACTAGTTCAGCACACCGGTGTGTTGGAGAGTGAACCCACAACATTTACAATTTGCGAACCGTGACGTTTCGCCGGTAATTACAACCTGCCTCATCAGGCGACAGCCAGAGTTGTGGAGGAATCCTCCTGTTTCAGTCTTAAATAGAGGGGGGATACATGTGGTGCCAGTTTAATGTCTTCATATAAATTACAATGGATATCTATTGTTGGTTAGGTTATTCACAGTTGATCTACAAACAGTTCTATAAAATGAGACCTTTTTGCCAGCATCAGAATATGAGAAAATAATAGGTTTTACACTTTCTGACAATAAAACAGGTGTTAAGAGGTCCCATTTTGTAGCTGCTCACCCGTAGCTATAAATGCTCTGATAGTGCATTAGCTTCAATCGGTTTCAAATACAACGCATATACTATCAGAGCATGTTTGTTTGCATGTTCGTCACAAGTAGTGCGTGTGGTTAATGCAGTACTTTGATTCCTTGCAAATGGTTTCTATTTGGCGTTTGAATATCTTAACAGTTGTATTTCCAGAAAGGGTAACGCCTATTCTTGTTTTTTCATACTTTGATACTGGGGAAAAGGTCCCATTTCGTAGCGGCTCACCCGGAGCTATAAACGCTTTAATAGTGCATTGTCTTTGTACTGTTCGCCTTTTGGCGTTCTCTCTTCTTACACTGGTGAGACTGGGCCATAAAAAAGGCTGTCTCTGCTGTCGACCAATCAGATTCAAAGACAATGCGTATATAATTATCAGAGCATGTTTGTTTACATGTTCACCACAAGTAGTGTGTGTCTGTGGTTAATTTCTTGCAAATTGTTTCTAATTTGGTGTTTCAACATCTTAAACACCTCCTGTTTGATTGCCACAAAAGGCAAACTCCTATATCTTTGATTTAAAGCTTTCATGACTGCAGGGATTCATATTCTTGGTTCTTTCGGTAAAGTCGCCACGTAGAAGGGAAAACAATAAAATAATAAAAATATAAAACAATTAAATTCTCACGACGTTTCGACTGCAACACAAGCAATCGTCATCAGGTGCGAAAACCACAGCAAGAACATTTTATTGTTTCCCTTCTACGTGACTTTCCCGAAAGAACCAACAATACCTATATCATATTCTTAGCTCTTTCGGTAAAGTCACGTTGAAGGGAAACAATAAAATATATTGTTTTATATATTTTTATTTTCTATATATTTTTTATTTTCTTTGGTTCTTTCGGTAAAGTCACGTAGAATGAGAATAAAAGAATAAATTGATCAAATAAAATAACAGCATGACTTTACCGAAAGAACCAAAGAAGATGAATCCTTGCAGTCACGAAAGCTTTAAATCGAAATATATTTTATTATTTTATTGTTTCCCTTCAACGTGACTTTACCGAAAGAGCTAAGAATAAGAATTACTGCGGTACACGAAAGCTTTAAATCAAAATACCTATATCCTTATTTTCTTCATGCATTTCCATCCCTGCCCATTCACAAACCCCACCACCACGACCACCACCACGACGACCACCACCCCCAACACCACCATCCCCAACACCACCACCACGACCACCACCAACACCACCACCAACACCCCCAACAACACCACCCCCCTACCGTCCCCCACGTTGCCCTCACCGAGTTGGGGCTTGGGAGTTCCAAGCGTCTCTGAACCCGCGCGAGCAGCGACTCTGGATCCAGCAGCTCCGCCATGGCCTGCGTGGCGGCACGGCAGAGGGGCGGCAAGCGGCCGCGGTCATCTCGGGTTGTGTGTGGGGGGCCGTGGGGGGCCACGATCGCTCCACTGCTGGACGGAGCCAAGCCCGTGCCAACCCACCAGCCACGGCGTGGCCCGCATTCACTTCAAACGCCAGCCTCGGTGCAACAAATCGACGACACCGGCCCCAGGTGGGCGCAGCATGCGACGAGCACCGAGGGGTTTGTTTTGTTGTTTTAAAATAACGAGCGCGGGACATTTTACCTCACGGCGGCTATTAAAATAAGGGGACACATTCAACGAGCAAGCACGCAAAATAAACTTTGAGTGTATTACACACACACAAAACAACGACGACGTTACACGAGTCTCGACAAGTAGCATTTTAGTAATTCATCTTTAACACGAGGGCACCGTTTTTAAAATGCACTAATTCTCATCGTGCGCCAGCCGCTGTGTAAAAACGAGTTCAGATCAGTTTATGTATTTTGGTATAGCCCTGTGAGCCATTCGGCTCTTGAATCGGGTGCAACCACAACAAACTAAAAAAACAAAAACACGAACAAGAAAAACATCTTAAAGTGACTATGTGTGCCTTTGTGCAAACAGAAAATCCATGGGGAAAAAAAACAGCAAAAATATTCCTGAAAAAAAGCACCGTACACCAACGCTGTGTGCAACAAATCCCAGTGGGATGCCAGTCAAACAACAACTTTTGATTTAAAGCTTTCGTGACTGCAGTAATTCATATTCTTAGTTTTTTCGGTAAAGTCACGTTGTAGAGAAACAACAAAATAATAAAACATATAAAACAATAAAAAATTCTCACGACGTTTCGACCATAACTCAAACGGTCACAC